TATATATATATATATATATATATTACTTTTGAGCATATTTCTTTTACTGTCTCAAAAAATATTAAAAAATATTGATGCGTCATTTACATGATAAAAGTTGAAAGGAATACTTTTGTCTTAAAAAGAAACGTAATAAATACCAGACTTCCTCGTTCAAAACTTTTTGCATCTCTCTCGTCCACCTTTCTTCCAGCTCAGAACAATCCCCTTCTCTCTATCTGAAATTACCATCCTTAACAATCAGAGATAAACAAAACCTGCACAGATCGCCTTCTTGATGATCAATTTTACCTGATGCCAGCTTTAGATGACGCCGGCAACGAAGAATTGCCGTCTGCGGCGGAGAAAAACCTCTTCGGAAAATACGAGGTCGGTCGGCTCCTTGGCTATGGCGCCTTCGCCAAGGTCTACCATGCGAGGGATGTGCTCACGGAGCAGAGCGTCGCCATTAAAGCCATCAACAAGCAGAGGATTATGAAGGGAGGTCTCGCCGCCAACGTAAAACGTGAGATCTCTATCATGCGCAGGCTGCGCCACCCTAATATCGTGCGCCTTCTGGAAGTTCTGGCCAACAAGAAGAAAATCTACTTTGTGTTGGAATATGCGAAAGGGGGGGAGTTATTTGCGAAAGTAGCGAAATCACGATTCAGCGAGCATCTCAGCCGTCGGTATTTTCAACAACTCATCTCCGCCGTTGGTTACTGCCACTCACGCGGCGTATACCACCGTGATTTGAAGCCGGAAAACCTACTGTTGGACGAGAACTGGAACTTGAAGGTAACCGATTTTGGATTATCAGCTCTGACGGACCAGATCCGACCCGACGGACTCCTCCATACGTTGTGTGGAACACCTGCTTACGTGGCACCGGAGATTCTATCGAAGAAAGGTTACGACGGTGCGAAGGTGGACATCTGGTCATGTGGCATCATCTTGTACGTCCTCAACGCCGGTTATCTTCCGTTCAACGATCCGAATTTGATGGTGATGTACCGGAAAATATACAACGGCGACTTTCGTCTTCCTAAATGGACGTCGCCGGATCTCAAACGCCTTCTATCACGTCTCCTCGACACGAATCCTGAAACGAGAATCACCGTCGATGAAATCATCAACGATCCTTGGTTCAAAATCGATTACAAACAGGTAGAATTTCATTGCGATCATCTCGAATTGAAAGACGACGACGACACCGCCACCGGTAACAATTTGAAGGTGATGAACGCTTTCGATATAATCTCTTTCTCCTCCGGCTATAACCTCTCCGGCCTACTCGACAATCAAGAAATCGGAGAACGGTTTCTATCGACTGCTTCGCCGGAAAAAGTCATCGAGAAGGTGGTGGAAGTGGCGGAGGCGGAGGGATTGACGGTGGTTACAAGAAAGGAGTGGTGTGTGAAGGTTGTAGGAGGGTATAGTTGTAATTTCGTGATGGCGGTGGAGTTAAGACGATTAACAGAGGAACTGGTGGTGGTGGAGGTTAGGAGGATAGAGGGTGAGGTGGGGCCCAGTCGACGAATATGGAAGGATAAAATTAGACCGGGTTTAAGTAATTTAATTTATCAAACCGGTTCGGCCGATTGTCGATAATTTAATTATCAATTATTGGCCCAATTTGCTTCTTTCCAATCTCTTCACACGTCGCCTTGTTTTTGTCGTATTTCTTATATTTTCACAAAATTATTACAAGCAAATATTTATTTATTTATTTTAGATTTATAATCAGATAATTAATAAATGTAATAATGTTTTTTTATGAGTATTTATAATTTTGACGGATAATTAATATATTATTTTAAATAGAAAGAAGAAATTATAAATTTTTGTATTTAAAATATATTGTGGTATAGTTGAAATATCATGGAAGGTGAAAAAAAAAGGTTAAAGGAATTTTATACGTGAATTATTAAAAAAATCTATTTAAAAATATATTAATATGTGAATTCGTATAAATAATCTGTAATATTAGTTTACAATTGTATTTTTTTTTAGTTTTTCTTGGATTATTTTAATGATCAATTATATGAATTTTTGTTTTTTATATCCTCATAATATTTAAACTTCTTATATGAACCCATTTTTTTAGTAGATTCTCTCCCAATTGGTTGGACCGTAGGTGCGCAAGGTCTTCCAAAAGTGGAACAGGTGTGAAATGACAGAATCCATAAAAATTATTCAAATTCGTTAAGGCTTCTATTCAATCGAGAAATAGGTTAAATTTCCCCTTTCCTCGTTTGAACCTATGTATATTATGTATATAATTTAGCATTTTAAAATAAGGAGAAAATGCGTTTAATTTTAATGTAGTTTGGTATATTTCAAAGCAGATAGGCAAATCTATACATTCCGTTTATTTGATTCGAAATGCCAGACGTTATTTTCAGCCTTTTGTTTGGCTAGGTGTTGTTTGAATTAAAATAGCATCTCTAACAACTCTATTAAATAGAAATTTTTTAAAGATTTAGAAATTTTTGTTTGAACAGTTATCTTTACGATATTATAAAGTATTTGATAAAAACTCTTAAAAACCATTTTTTATGCACAAACTACTTTTTATTGATGTATATTACTTACAATTTAAGATTACAAGTAATTTTGCGTAAATATAACTTGCTAAAGTTCTATTTTTAAATTCGTGTAACTAACTGCTGATAAACATAATCAAATACAAAATAAACATTCATTTTAAATATAAAAAATCTAAAATATAATTAAAATAATTATTGAGTTCTAACAGAATGTTTAATTATTATCTTTATAAAAAATTATATTATTAAACCAAAAATAAATTACTTTGTTATTAAATCTAAATTAAATTATAATAAAAATTGAATTAAAGAAGTTACACAAAAAAAAGAGAACTATAAATAGTTAATTTGATACTATTATCGGTTTATTTTTTAAATTTTTTTATGCTATATTCAAATTTATATTTTAATTCAAAAAAAAAATTACTGTTTTTTTAAAGCCATATAAAATCGTACTATATCGATAGAGATAAAGAATAAAAACTAAACATTAAAATCGAGATTTATCTCACTGAATTACGCGAGTACCCTTCTAGTATTAAAATAAAGGAAAAAATAGATAAGAAGGAAATATTCAAATATAAATAAATCTTTAAACATATGTAAGAGGGGGGTAATTAATATTTTAATTCTTTCCAATCAATAGTAATTACTGAAATCAAATATGTAAAATAAAGAAATAATATTTTATTAAATGTAATGAATATATTTTATTAATATAATTAATAATAAAATTACTAAAATAGAATAATTGTTGAAGTTGAATATTTGGATTTTTATATTCTATTATAGAAAAATTACAACATAATTATTTGAATACTAAGAAAAGTATAATAACATCAAAAAACATAGAAAAAGAATTTATTTTAATCTTCAAAAGACTCTTCATTTGAAAATTATAATATTAATTATATTGTTATAATATTAAATACAGTTATTTCTTTATATTAAATATTAAAAGATCTTCATTAATCATTTTCTCTTTTGTAAAAATCATTTTTAAAAAGTTTTCCAAATTTGAAAAAAATTCAAGTTTTTTCTCATTTTTTTGCATTTTGAAATTTAAACAATTTGTTGAAACAAAAATTATCAAAATTCCTATTTCAAAAAATATGTCAAAAATGCTCCTAAATAACTTTTCACAAAAGAGTATCCAAAATACTCATAACGTCATAATTAGATATAGAGGAGATATACATGAACTATCAACATAATTGTTTAAATTTGAGGAAAAGTCTAAAAAAAACCTAATGAATTTTAATATTTGGAATGATTTTAGATATTGGACAATTTTTTGAAACAAATAAGTCTTTAGACATTACAAAACATATTAAATAACTCATTAGATTTTCTAAAACATATTATAAATATATTTTTATTATATACTGACTTTCTAAAAATATATTTTATGATATACGAAATATATTTTATTATAAATTAAAAAAATAAATAAAGGATTATTGATGTTTTTCATTATTTTATCATATTAACCAGTTGTATAGATCATAAAGATGTATCTAACATGTTTTAAAAAGTTCAGAGAGTTATTTAACGTGTTTTGAAATGTTCAAAAACTTATTGTTCCAAAAACTTGTCAAATGACTTAATCATTCCAAACATTAAATGAATGATTTATTAAGAGATTGTTTATCAAACGCTTATCTGGTATAGATTTATTGGCAAGAGATACTCTTACTTTTCTTATTGGATAACATTCTTACCTCGTTAAAATTAAGTTTTCTTAGGTAAACATTAGCAACTAAGGGGGCGTTTGGTTCGTAGAATGAAATTCAATGGAATTGGAATTCATCAAATGAATTTGACTTTGAGGGAACAGAATGAAATTTGATGGAATTTGACCATGTCTTTTGATTGCGTTTGGTTGGATGGAATTGGAATGAAATTCTTAACCGAATTGGAATTTTTTTTGTTTCGTTCACAGAATTCAATGAGAAAATTACAGGCAAAAAAAACTGAAACCGAAACTTTCGGGCTGGGTTCGGGGACAGGGCGGGGATCGGGGACAAATTCGGGGATTATAACGGGGGCGGGGACGGTGATCATCGGCCCGGCCCGCCCCGGCTTGATATGTGTATATATATTAATTTTAATATATATATATATATATAATATTAATTTCGGGGATTTTTAGATCTGTTTCGGATTTCGGTTTCGGGTTCGGTTACAACCAACGGTGAACAGGAAAAAGAGGATTTTTACCTTCATGAATTCCCCAACGGGGATCGGGGAAACAGCGGGACCCGATAAGATCCCCGACGGGGATCAGGGCGGTCATGGGGACGATTTTAGTTATCGGTTTC